AGCCTCATTCACCTACATGACCCGGGGTGCTCGGTGGGCCACCCTGAACTTAGCCCTGGGTTCTGGAAGGTCTAGGCACCTTCCATGTTCTCCAAAGCCTGAGTGCAGGCCCACCAGCACCCCAAGGCTGTCATCCTCCCAGGGAGAGCCGTCTTAAAGTGAGCCAACCCACTGAAATCTTCACAGTGGGAAGCTAGGGATTCCTAGAGGCCTCAGAGCCTACAGAGCAGGGAGGAGGAGGAGGGTGAGTCTCCCTCAGGCCCCCTAAATGCAGGGAGGGGGCAGCTGTGTTGAGGCTCAGTTCTCCATACCAAACCCCGACACCCCCTGCCAAGCCTGGAGTCCCCAAGGGACCACCCCTCCCCGCAAGAGAGCACCAGGGTCCCAGGTCTGGCTTTATCTAGAGCCTCTGTCTGCTCACACTGCACCTTGGGATCCCCTGGCAGGGGTGAGTGGAGATGACAGACAGAGTCTTTCTAAGTCTGTACAGTCGGTTACAACTTGAGGACATCCCCCCAACCCCCCACCCCCGCTGTCTGGGGAGCACCTACCCCCCTATGCACCCTCCCCTCTCAAGAACTGTCTGTGGCTCACACACTGCAGGAGCCCGGTGCACCGTGTCATGTCCCCGCGTGGTTTGCATGCGTGTCCGTGACTGTCCGTGGGTGCCTGTGCGCGCGCACCCCTCAGGAGGATCTGCACCCTGCACCGGGATGGAGTCGCGGTAGCCGGCGCAGCGGCAGCCTCAGCCTGCAGGCACGGAACTGCCTGAGCTCCCGGCCTGGGGGTGGGGGGGGGTGGAGGAGGGCGGGACGAGGGGAGGGTCCTGCGGGCTGGGGGGGCGGGCACGGCGCACCCCCTCCCCGGCACGCTCGCTCCCTCCTCTGGCCCCCCCTCGCCAGGGACCAAGCTTGCTCCAGCGCCGGCCTCGCCTCCTGGCTGCAGAGCGCCATGGTACGTCGCCGCCCCCCACTTTCATTTTCGCCTTGGGGGGGACTTTTTTTAGGGGTTCTATGGGATGGGATACGGGAGAAAGTTGCAATTTCTGGGAAGAGGGAAGGGAAGGAAATGGGGATCCCCCTCCTCTTCCAGCAGGAGCAGCGATCGCTCCCCCCCTCCCTAGCTTGGAGGCGGAGCTGGAGTTGGGGCGCTCAGCTTGGGTGGGGACCCCAAGTGAGGGGAGGTCCCCTCTCTCTCCAGAGCCAGCTGAGCTGCCAGGGAGGGCGGGACTCCCCAGGAGCGGACCCCCGCCCAGCACTTGCCCTTCCGTGTCTCCCCCTTGCGAGTCAGATTTACAGAGTAATTTGTGGTGTGCGACCCTCCCAACGGTGCGGTGCGGGTCCGGCCGGGGGTGTTGTGGAGGAGGAAGGGACGCCCGGGGGTGTCCTCTGGTTGCACCCGGCCCGGAGGCCCCAGCACAGCGAGCTGCATAGCGGAAAATGGCCGCTGCGGAGGGCGGAGAGCCGGGCGCCTTGAACTTGAAGCCGGCGGGGGCGTGGGGGGGAGGGGGAGGAGGTGCGCAAGGTCGGCCCCGCCCACCGCGGGCTGGCTGCTGCACCCCAGCAACCCCAAGGGACCCCCACATCTCCATCCTGAGCGTATCAGATCCCTCCCTTTTCCAAAGCCACACACTGGCTGTTTGCAGCCCTGGGGACGGCACTGGAATTGGTGGAATTGCTCCAAGTCGCGTCTGCTTCTTGTCCTCCTGGGGGATCCCCACGCGGCCCTCCTCACCGTGTCTGTGGGTGTCTGGGAACCCACGTGTGTGTCGCTGTTGGTTGTCACAGTCTGGTCTGAGTGACACGGGATAAAAGTACCACATGTCCCCATAGGGAGGTGTTGGGGGAGAAACTGGGGCTCCGGGTGCCGGGGTGACACCCGCCTGGCCCTGCCTGCGCCCTTTTCCCGCCTATAACCTGGGCCGCAAATGACTGATCCCTCCAGGTAAAGGGTTCCAGCCCGTCACTTCCTGCTCCCCAGCCCCAGGGCTCTGCATCCTTGGGCTGAGATGGTCCAGGCTGGGATTGGGGGAGCTAGGGCAGGTGGTAGGGGTCCCCTAGGAACCTTTGTCCCCTCCTCTATGTTGGGGATACCCAAGTGGACCCGGATAGCCCTGTCTTCCTACCATAGATGGAGCCATACAGGACCAGTGTGAAGTTTTCTGTTCTAAAGAGGGGAATCCCTGGGTGCCCCACACCCACCCCTGTGTGATTTAATATTTTTATATATAATTTTCTAAGTACAGATCCCAAGGCCAAGCCTCTGTCTGCTTTCTTCACCCCCCCCCTTAGCCTCCAGTCTCATTAGAACACATTAGTTCAACAAGCACACATGAAGTAGAGTCACAGATGCCGCTCAGGGTGACTGCTGGTCTGCGTGGCCCTGGTTCATCCCAAACACCACGGAAACTCACTTCTTTGTGATTAGCATGCTGCAATAGTAACATGTTCACAACTTTATAAAGGATACATGTGTGTTTTTGTTTTTGTTTTGTTTTTTTGTCATTTTTGAGACGGGATGTAGACCAGGCTGGCCTTAAATTCACAGAGATCTGTCTGCCTCTGCCTCCCAAGCGCTGGGATTTAAGGTGTGCGCCACCACGCCCTGTTTACAAGTGTATTCTTTTAAACGTCAGCCAGCTCTGGGGAGGTAGAGGCAGGAGGATCAGGATCTCAGGGTCACCCTCACCTATGTAGTGCATTTGAAGCCAACCTGGGTTACATGAGACCCTGCCCCACCCCCCAAAAAGTAAAACCTGGCAAATGAAGATTGAGTTTTCTTGGGGGGTCTGAACAGTGGGTTTCACACAGAGCTGACTGTCCCAGGGGAGATGTTTGATTGTCACAGCTGGTGTGCAGTAGGGTAAAGATGTTGTGACTCCCAGAAAAGCATGAGACACCCATCGCAACTGGCCACAGTGCTTGGGTTGTGATAAATATTTCCAGCTGTTGCTCCTGCCTGAGTAGCCCTTGGAGACAGCTCTAGTGGGTAGATTTTGTGGGGGGTTTCTTTTGCCTGTCTGTATAATATTCCATTCTCTCCCTTACTGGGGTCATTGAATGGGTCCTGAACAGGCATGACGGTGTTTTGCAATTGTTAATGCTCATTGTGACCATCAAGTCCCCTCCCCTTTATGCACTTGTGTCAGGGATAATTAGAGGCACCCACGGTGGGAAGAACAAATTATTATTCTTTCATGTTATTTGGGGTCTCATTGTAGCCTCAGCTGACCTGGAACTCGCTACGTAGCCCAGGTTGGACTTGATCTCACAGAGATTCACCTGCCTCTGCCTCCTGAGTGCTGGGATTTTAAAGGCAAATGACAGGTCCACTATCCTTGTTTGGTGCTGTGGCTGGGAAGACCCCTGAAGCCCATGAGCCAGGCTGGGGATTCAGGAGTCAGGGGGACATGGGAGTTGGGCAGGGCCTCTTTAAGTATGTGGGCTCAAGGACTCTTGTTACCCCAGTACTCCAGAGGTGGAGGCAAGAGGGTCAGGAGTTCAAGAGTGGCCTGGGCATTGTGAGACCCTCTCTCTAATTAAGTGAATTAGTAAAGTTGGTTAGATAGGTGCCTTGGATCCAGGTCATAAGACTGGCCCATGGGAGGCTGATGTAGGAGGATTACCTAGAATTTGAGGACAGCCTGGGCTACATTGCCTCAAAAAAAATAAAAAAATAAAAAACAAAAACAAAAAAACAAGAAGGGACTGGAGAGCTGACTCAACAGTTAAGAGCACTGGCTGCTCTTGCAGAGGACCCGGGTTCCATTCCCAGTGACTAACAATCATCTGTAACACCAGTTCCAGGGGATCCGATGCCCTCTTCTGACTTCCATGGGCACCGCATGCACACAGGTGCACTTACATATATGCAGGCAGAACACTCATACACTTAAAATTAAAACAATAAAAATTTAAAAGACTGGGGCTTAGTCAGCAGAGTTCACTTAGCATGCACAAATCCCTGAGTTCATCCCCAGCAACCCCAAAAGGTGTGGTGATGCACACCTGTCATCCCAGAACTAGGGAAGTAGAGGCAGGAGGATCAGGAATTCAGGGTCATCCTTGGCTTCATTGTGAGTTCAAGGCCAGCCTGGACTACATGAGACCCTGACTCAAAAAAATAAAAATTAAGGGCCGGGTGTGGTGGCGCACGCCTTTAATCCCAGCACTTGGGAGGCCAAGGCAGGTGGATCTCAGTGAGTTCAAGGCCAGCCTGGTCTACACAGTGAGTTCCAGGCCAGCTGGGGCTACAGGGAGACCCTGTCTCAAAAAGACCAAAAAATAAATAAATAAAATAAAATAAATAAAAATTAAAGAGTCTGAAGGGAGAGGTCTGTGCCTCGGTTCCCCCATATGTCACATGAGTTGACTTTTGGGGCTGGAAGTAAAGCTGGGTACCCAGCCAAAGTTCAGACCCGGGTGCTGGGGCACCCATGACTTGAGTCACCCCATTTTTCCTCCTTTTAATAAGCTAGAAGTGCTGTGTAGCCTAGGCTATGGGTGTGGGTTGAACCAGGCAGTGCCACTGTCCCGCAGGGCACCTGGTCACTGGCTCGCCGCTCATACATCTTTAAGGGGAAAGGCGGGCTCCCGCCCTCGGCTCTGCACACGGCTCTCTATTCCTCCCTGGTCTTCCCCCTCCTCCTGGCACGGTCCTCCAACTTCCCAGCCAGCTTGGGGGCAAAGATAGGGGGTGATGAGGGGGGGTCCCCAAGCATCTCCATCCTGTGTCCTCCGGAGCTGCACTTGGGTGCTGGAAGCCAATTCTTGCACCCCAGTTGTTCGGTCCGTGGGTCCTTTCTCCCTAAAGAGAGATGGAAAGATTTTCGGGGGGGGGTGTCTGAGACTCAGGGTGTCAGGATTATTTGGGGGGATTGGTGTGGGGTTTTTCTGTTTGTTTGTTTGTTTTTGTGTGGCTTGAATTCTTTGAAAGTCGGATGGCGGGGTGGCGGTGGGGAGGGAGCCGGGGGCGGGTGCGGGAGGCGGGAGGACAGGGAGGGAGGAGCGGGAGGAGGGGGGGAGCTGGGAAAATGACTCAGTAAGTTCCAAGCCCTGGCCAGGCTCTGCCGGCCTCTGCGCCTCCTTTGCCAGCGCCCCGGGATGTATTCGTCCCCGCTCTGCGTGACCCAGGTATGCACCCCACTCCCACCCTGCGCCCGGGCCCCGCACCGGAGGCTCTACCTGGAACCGCATTTTTGCAAACTGGAACCTCCGCTCCGCTGCAGGGGTGGGAAAAAAAGGCGCGCAGTGTCCTCCCCACCCTCTTCCAGGCAGGGGTGTCCCTTGCATGGTCTTAGGGTACAGGCCAGGTTTTCAGATAGGAGATCCTGGTTTCCTGGATTCCCCAGTCTATCCACGCTGAACCCCGGATTCTAGACCCCCACTTTGAGCTGAATCGTCTAACTGTTCTCTGGACTCTGCCCTCCTACCCCTCCTGGCTGAATATTGGGGTGATGGGGCAGTATGGGCATCCTCCTCACACTCCCTCACTCCTCACACACAATCCCACACTCCAGGAAGATTGGGGTTAGCTAAGAGGGGGTCCTCCAGCAAGTCCCTCTACCCCCACCCCTACTGCATCTGGGGATGATATGGGGGGTCCCCAGCTATTCAGGAAGGGGGCCCCCTTGGTCAGGATTGCGTGGGTCCCTGGCTTTCCCCACGTGGTGGCCGTGTCCCCCCATAACACCCCGATTGGGGCCCACGTGTGCGCGGAGGGGGAGGGGCACGGAATTGGCGCGCGGCGGGGGAGGGGTGGCCTTGCGGCCCTCCGTGGGGTTCCCCCCTTGCCTTTCTCCAGCTCCCCCCACCAACTCCAACCTCGTGCTTTCTCCGCATTGATTTTTGAATTATTGAGCTGGTGCTGGGCGGCTGGTGTGGGAGGCGTCAGAGGCAGGGGACTGCCTGGCACTGTGGGGTCCAGCGCGGCCCTGGCAGGAGTTATGGGGACCTGTCCGCCTCCAGGGCCTGAATCTTCTTTCCTACCCCTACAACCCCCTGTTGCTTTTGGCCTTCCAGTCCCTGACCTCAGTTTCCCCTGAGAGCGGGCGCCACTAAGGAATCCAAACTGTGAAGTGCTCGGCTTGGGGTTTGTGTGTAGCAGCTGGACATCTTACTGAGAACTCCAGGAGGTCCTCCTTAGGGGAGGCCCAGCCAGGGGTATCACCAACAGGATCCCCCATCCCCCATCCTGGCTGATCCTCTTCCAGCTTGGCTGGGGAGTGGAGTTCAGTGGGAACCCCAGAAATATGGGGGTGCAGAGGGTCATGTCCTACCCAGGGTTTTCAGGGTGACATTCCTGAATCCCAAGATATGGTTGAGATGGACATACTGTGTGGCCTTGAGCAGACTAAGTCTCTGTGCTGAGTGGCTGGCAGTCGGGGTTGAACCCCCAGGACCCAACTTGGGGAGTCTGGGCTCCTACCAGGTCACTGCTAGCACCTGGCAGTGCACTGGTTACAAACCAGGGGTGCAGGAAACAGAGAGACTGAGACAGACAAGGGGGTACCAGGCTAATATGGAGTTAGACACCCCCCCGTGATTACCCCCCTCCTGCCCTAGGGGAGCCTGGGGGCCCCTAGGGCCCCTTGAACCCCAAGTGTGGTCACCAGTGCTACACAGGCCCAGTCTAGCATCTCAGCTGACTGGTACCCCAGTCTGCTTTAGTCTCAGCTGCCCCTCAGTCAAGCTCCCTCTCTACCTTGACCTCTGTCTCTGTCTCTGTCTCTCTCTCACCCCTGTCCCTCTCCTTCCACAGCTAATTTTACAGACTTCAAGCTAAAACAGCTCCTTTTCTCCCAGTGGACCTGGATTCCGCAGGGTTGGCTGCCACTGCCCATATCAGGTCCCATCCTTGTCCCCAGCTCCTGGGTGATCCTCCGTGGCTCTGGGGTGACTCTGGCCCCTTTTCACTTTGACTTTTGTGGCCCGGACTTCCATCACCGCTGCGGGCAGCAGGGCATCCAGCCAGCTCCAGTTATTCCGGGTTTGGGGCCAAATCCCACTTGGCTGAGGCTGAGGGTTCCCTGGGCCTCAGCCACCACCCTCCTCCATTCATTCCTCCCTTTCTGGCTCTGTTTTTCTTTTCTCTGACATCTTTGCAGTGAGGAAATTGAGGCAGGAACGGGGCACCTGACATATTTGACTTGATTTCAGTAGGATTAGGAGTGAGGATCAGAGAGGGTGAGTGCTGGCTCCAGGGCAGCACAGCACCAGCATTGCCACTGCCTCTTTCTCTGCCTGCCATGGGACGGGTGGGGCCCCTACTGTGGCCCTGACTGGACCCCACATTCTCAAGGCCCTGTCCCCTGTCCAGTGTGGCCTGCCTGCGGCCTGCTGCTCCTCCGCCACCCCCTCCTCTCTCTGCGGAGAAGGTGCCTGTCGGCCTGGGCCGGCGCCCTGTAAATCACACTGGATTCTGGCGAGTCAGCGTTCCGCAGCCGCGTCTCCCTCTCGCCCTCCCTGCCTGCAGAGCACCGCCCTCCCTGCCTTGCACCAAACACCACCAACCTCCTGGCCCCCTCCCTATCCCCGCCTGTGCGCCCCCTGTGTGGCCTGTCTCCATGCCACAGACCTCCACAGCCACAGGCGCAGACCCCAGAGCTCCCCAAAACATGCCCCCCAAACCCACAGCTAGCTCACCCCTCAGAATCCAGTGTCCTCCCCAGCAGTTTGGTCCAGACATGGGATATTTCTGAAATGTTGGGTGCAGGATGTGGCACTCAGCAGGAGCTCAATAAATGCCCTGGGATGCATGATGTGGCACACATTAGGTCAGCAAATGCCCTGGGATGCTGGTCAAGGCACACAGTAGGAGCTCAGCAAATGTCCCTGGATGTAGGGCGCAGCACACAGCAGGAGCTCAAGCAATGTTGCCAATATGGTCATGGCATACAGTAGGAGCTCCAGATATTTAATTTGTTGTGTGTCGGTCGACTGTTTATAGAATGAGACTTGGGTCTTCCCAAGGGGTGATAGGGACCCCACAATACCTGGCCTCTGGCCCCCAAAGAACTCATATGTGCATGTGTGCATGGCGTGTACGTGTGTGTACCTCTGTGTGTGTGTGTATGTGTGTGTGTGTGCGCGTGCGCGCACTCGCGCATGTGTAGACCAAGGTCAGCATGCAGCGTCCTCCTGCGGCCCTCCACCTTGTTTTTTGAGGCAAGGTTTCTGAACTTGGAGCTAGCTGCCTGATTCTGCTGGTCTGTCTGGCCAGTGAGCCCCAGGGACCCCAGTTCTGCCTGCGCAGCAGTGGGGTCACAGGCATGCAACACCAAGCCTGGCTCTTTATGAAGGTGTGAGGGACTCGAACTCAGGCCTCAAGTGTGCGTAGTGAAAACTTTACTGACTGTCTCCCCAGCCCCTGATGGTGACTTGGTCCAGACCTGCTAGGTGCCAGGTGTTTTCTAGATCAGGGTGGTGAGTGGGGCGTTGAGGAAGAGCAGAAATAAAATACAAACCAGCAGGCCTGGCAGAGCACACCTGTGATCTCAGCACCCAGGAAAGCTGCATCAGGAGGATGAGAGCAGCCCTCACTGAGTGAGACTCGGTCAAAAAAAATATACTCTGTGTGACCTAGGATTGCCTGATGGGGAAAAGCTGAGTGGAGTTCAGAGGGGTGCAGGGGGACCCCCACCTTCCTCTGCCCCAGGACCTTTGCACGACTGTGTCCTCTGTCCCACGACCTTTGTGCAGGTCGTGTCCTCTATCCCACAGCCTTTACACTGTTGAGTCCTCTGTCCCATTGGGACCTTTGCCCAGCTGTGTCCTTTGTCCTGTGGCTTTTGCACAGCCATGTCCTCTGCCCCTCTAGGAATTTGGGGGTCAACAACATAGAATCCCAGAATTTCCAAATTACCAAGGAGAACTGTGGGCTTGAGGGTATAGGATCACCAAAGTGTGGAGGCAGGCATTCTGGGCACCACACAGAGGAACCCAGCATGCACTGGGGCCTGGCCAGGTGTTGACCCAGTCCCAGGGGTCCAGCTGGGAGTTGTTGGAAGTTCCGCCCTCATCCCTTCACACCCCTGGGTACCAGTCCCCTATCTCTGTGAGGCCTGGGGGCGGCGTGTGCTCCAGTCTTGAGAGTGGGGGGACGACTGCAAGCAGGGGTCATGGGAGAAGGGGCATCAACGGGTGTGTAGGAGTTCAGGACTCAGTTCCATGGCAGGAAACAGCCATGGAACCTGACTGTCTTGGGTCACCAGGACATGGACGCCCCACCTCACCAGAGGCCCTTCCCTTGGAGAGGGGTGGGGCTTAGAGATAAGAGAAACTCCTTTCCCTCTGAGCTAGATGGGTTCCCCCACCGTCCCTGAGCCTCAGTGGGTCAGCTTGCGGAGAGGGGGGGGTAGGGCAGCAGAAAACAGCCCCTGAAGTCCAGTCTGGGCTGCAGCTGTTCCGGTGACTCACGCCTCCGCCTCGGAGGACACTGGCCTGGGGGAGCGGGGTGGCCCGGCCTGCCCTGCCCTCCCTCGGCTTGTCCGGCTATTTTCAGAGCTTTGGTAATAGATGACATTTGATGCCCCCGCTCTGGGGTTCAGAGAGTTGGAATCCAGAGCTGGGCAGGTGCTGGCTGGGGGTGGGGCTCTGTGTGCCAGGGTCTGGTAGAAGGTGAGCCTGGGGTCCAAAGGGGACCCCAGACTCAGAAGAGACAGGTTATTTTAAGAAAAAGGTCAAGGAGACGGTGGAGGCCAAGACCTGTCGCCCTCTCCTTGAGACCCTGTGGGGACCTTGGGCAGAGTCTTGGTGGCTCTCTGAGCCTCAATTTCTCTATCACAGGCAGGAAACAGATGTCTGGGGGGAACCAGGGTTTCTCTGCCAGCCAAAATATGAGAAGCCATAGAAACACCCTAACAAAAAAATAGTAATGGATACTAATTACAGCAATTTCAAGAGCATGAACCCCATTCTCTGAGTGCCAGGGCTCTGGGTATCTGACCCAGCCACTGACAGTCCCCTGTCTACTTTTGTCAATAAAGTTTTATTATAAGTCAGCCGTATTCATCGCTTTGTCCATCTGAGACAAGGGCTAAGTTAGCACCAATGTGCACAGTGGGCAGTTTTGCTATGAACCAGGCCTCCATCCTGTGACAGTTCCCCATTCTGGGAACCTCAGTTCCTCCCTCTGATCAATCGGTCTCTGAAGTCCCTGAGTTGCTCCCTCATAACCTAGGGATCCCAAGGGACCCCTCCCCCCAGAGCTTCATCTCCCTATCTGCACAGTGGGTCTGTCTGGATCCTTGTGTGGACCTCAGTTTCCCCATCTATTCAGTGGGTCCATCTCCTGTATTCCCAGGCCTCATTTTCCTTGTCTGTGAAATGGGTCCATCCGGATCCTGGGTCCCCAGGCCTCAGTTTCCCCGTCTGTACGGTGGGTCCATCGGGACCCCTTCCGGGCCTCAGTTTCCCCCTCTCCCCGCAGGATGAGTTCCACCCGTTCATCGAGGCGCTGCTGCCACACGTGCGCGCCTTTGCCTACACCTGGTTCAACCTGCAGGCGCGGAAGCGCAAGTACTTCAAGAAGCACGAGAAGCGGATGTCGAAGGACGAGGAGCGCGCGGTGAAGGACGAGCTGCTGGGCGAGAAGGCCGAGGTCAAGCAGAAGTGGGCGTCGCGGCTGCTGGCCAAGCTGCGCAAGGACATCCGGCCCGAGTGCCGCGAGGACTTCGTGCTGGCTGTGACCGGCAAGAAGGCCCCGGGCTGCGTGCTGTCCAACCCCGACCAGAAGGGCAAGATGCGGCGCATCGACTGCCTGCGCCAGGCCGACAAGGTGTGGCGGCTGGACCTGGTTATGGTCATCCTGTTCAAGGGCATCCCGCTGGAGAGCACGGACGGCGAGCGGCTGGTCAAGGCGGCGGCTTGCGCGCACCCGGTGCTGTGCGTGCAGCCGCACCACATCGGGGTGGCCGTCAAGGAACTGGACCTGTACCTGGCCTACTTCGTGCGCGAGCGCGGTGAGTGAGGGGACCTGGGGGGGCGGCGCCAACGCCCAGTGCGCACACAGCGGGGCCTGCACCGTCCACGCCGACCGATCGGGAGGGACAGCCGTGGTCTCCTCTCCTCTCCGCCTTTGTATTTACGAAAGGGAAGTCGTTCTGCCCTTAAAAGCTTTTAAAACTATTTTTTGTATTTTTTATGTGCATGAGTGTATTGCCTGCATATTAAGGGCCCCGTGTCGTGCAATGGTGCGGTACTGCTGACAGAAGAAGGCACCGGACCCCTGGAACTGGAGTTACAGACGGTTGTTAGCCGCCATGTGGGTGCTGGGAACCGAGCCTGGATCCTCTGCAAGAGCAGCCAGTGCTCTTAAACCGTTGAGCCGGCCTTCCAGTCCCTGCTCTGAAAAGTTTGCTGTCATAAACACGTGACCAAAACCAGCCTGGGGAGGGAAGGGTTTATGGCATCTTAGGGCCCACCAGGGAGGAAGTCAGGGCGGGAATGCAAGGCCGGAGCAGAAGCAGACACTGGAGGGACCCCCCTCACTGGCTTGCTCAGTCCAGGCCCAGTGGCGAAGGAGCCAGAGCTGAGAAATGGGTGGGGCCCGTTAAGGGGCGAGGCTTGTGTGGGCAGGGCCTTAACTTCGTCCCCCTCTATTATGGCCCCTTGAGCAGGCGCTCAATGAGGGGCGTGGCCAGGGACAAGGGGCGTCTGCGTGTGGGCGGGGAGTGGGCGGGGCCATCTATTGGCTCCACCTCCCCAGCTGGCTTCTCCCTCTTGCCAGGTGGGTAACACTGGGTAAAAGCAGAAGGCTTAAAATGCTTGTTGATTGACTCTCAGATCACTGTGTGGTGGCACCGTTCACACTGTGAGTGGGAAGACGGAGTGTGGAGCTCTGACAGGAGACCCCAGTGTGGCCTCAGAGGCCCCCACTCCAGCTTGTGCCGGCTGGTTCCAGAAACAGATGTATCAGATTAGCAAGGTGTGTTGGTGTGAGCCTGTCACCAGCTACCAGGACCTGAGGCAGGAGCATCAAGACTAGGCAGCTTAGGGAGAGCCCGTCAGAAGGTAAAAAGGACGGGGGCGTGGCTCAGGGTAGAGTGACAGCCTAGAGTCCCCAGTGAGGGGCTGGGGGCGTGGCTCAGGGTAGAGTGACAACCTAGAATCCCCAGTGAGGGGCTGGGTGGCTCAGCTATGAGCTCTGTCCTCCCGTGCACAAAGCCCTGACCCTCATCCCTTTGGTTCCCTGGGTCACCCACATCAGTCAGATTTAGGCAGCCCTGACCTTGAATCTAGCTGAGTTTGACCTTGGCCTCCACCCTGGTCCCAAAAAGCTGTGGACTCAGGCTCAGAGGCTTTTCCTGGCACCTTAACTATCAGTGGGTCCTTTGGCAGGCAGGGGCGAGGGGTGGCCTTGGGGCTCTGGGCTCTTTGGTATTCAGGACCCCTCTCTCACGCTCAGCCTCTCTCTGTCATTTGCTCCGCTCCCGCCTCCTTGGAGTTCAACTGATAAAATTTTCAAAGCGATTTTCTGCCTTAGTCAGCAGGACTTCCCTGTGTCTACCCTCCCCCACCTCCTCCTCCTCCGCCCAGCGGCTGGCCAGGCCTCCAGGCCTCGAGGAGACACCTTCCCAGAGGTCACTCTGGTCAGCCACCTGCATCCCTGGAGTCCCAAGCCAGCCAGTCCCAAATCCTATGGCTCAGTAGCCAGCTGGCTGTGTGACGGGGGCAGGTAGCTCGCCCACTCTGTACATCTTTTCCTTGTATTATCATGGGATGCTCACAATGGGTCACCCGAAAATCGCTGGGAATCCAGGAGTCAACCATAAAACACTCAACCAACAACCCCAATGCGATGCGATGCGGGGGTGGGGGGGCTCAGGTTTGAGGCGAGGCTGGTTCACTGTCTTTCTCCTAGACTTTGCCTATGCTGTTTCCTCTGCCCAGAACACCCTTCCTATACGGAGGACTCCTGAGTATACTTCAGAGCCCTATCTCACATCCACTTTACTTCTGCCAGAGGGATTTGCTTTGCTATGTAGCCCAGGCTGTCCTGGGACTCATGACCTGCCCGCCTTGGCCTCTTGGAGTGTTAGGATCCCAGACCTAGCACCCAGGGAGACGGAAGCCCATTTGACAGAGGAAGAAACAGGCCAGAGGAGGATTCTGATACTCCTAGGGTCTCACAGCCAAAGGAAGACATGGAGTCAGGTCTGAGATAGACTGGGCTTTGGCCGCTCATCCCCTTCCCCCTCCCCCCCACACCCTTGGCGGTGGAAGCAGACAAAACTTAGTTCTGGTATTGGTGGTAGCCTGGCCACCTCTGCCCTGAGACCCCACTTCTCATCTGGGGCCCCCAGAACCAACTTACCCCTGGGGACCCAACACAGCTCCAGTTCATGAGTGTACCCCAGATGCCCCTTTCCTTGGGCCTGACCAAGCTCTGCTTCTTTTTTATTATTTCATTTTATTTTTTTGTGTGTGAGTGCATTGCCTGCATGAATGTAAGAGCACCCATGTCATGCAATGCCCACGGAGGCCAGAAGAGGGCGTCAGATTCCCTGGATGTGGAGCTACAAAGGGTTGTGAGCTGCCCATGGGTGCTGGGAACTGAACCCAGGTCCTCTGCAGTTGTGCTCTGAACCCCGAGCACTGCTCCAGCCCTGCTCTGCTTCTTTTTGAGCTCTGTGTCTGTCAGTTTGATAAAAATGGGGCACTGCCCTCTTCCTCTTGCTCAGGGACCCCGCAGGGCTGCAGGGAGCTGGCTCAGCCAGAGTGCTACATCCATCTTTGATCAGCAGCTGTGACCTTAACATCGGGTGGGTAGAGCTTAGGCTGAACTCTTGAGGAGAGTATGGGATCGATGTTGGGGGTCAGATATGATACCTTAGGAATAATGAGGACCACAGGGGGAGAGGATGAGTTGCTGAACTACTTAAATTAATGAGAGAGGACTGGGACTGTAGCTCAGTGGGTAGAGAGTTTGTAGCTCAGGGCAGAGTACTTATAGCTCAATGAGTAGAACACTTAAAGATCATTGGGTAGCGTGCTTCTCATTCATGAGTAGAGTTTCCACCTAGCACACACCAGGCCATGGGCTCATCCCCAGCAGCACATAAACCAGCTGAAATGGTATACACCTGTCATCCCAGCACTTGGGAGATAGAGGAAGGAGGACCAGGAGTTCAGAGTCATCCTTGGCTACATAGTGAATTCAAGACTAGCCTGAGCTATATAACTCACTATCTCAAAGGAGAGAGGGATAGAGGGGTTAGAAATAGGGAGCTATGGAAAGACAGAGATGGAGGGGTACAATCTGTGCAAAGGTCCTGGTGTCACAGAAAGCAAGCACACAAAATGTGAGCCTCTGGGGAGCACAGGGGGGACAGGGGTGATCAGGAGGCCCCACACAGATTTGCCCTGGGGTAGGCAGAAATGGAGTCCAGACCTCCCCCAACCTGGCCTGGTTTTTGGAAGGAGCCTGGGAAAGCAAGGCCAAGAGAGAGTGAGGGAGGGTGAGGTGGCCTGCCCAGGGCCCACAGCCCAGTCAGCCTCCCTGCCCCCTCTGGCAGTCTGCGAAACCCGAAGCGCGGGCGGGCATCATGCCAGGGGGGGAGGGGTGCCAGGCCCGCCCAGCCGGCAGCTGCCAGGCCAGATGGTGCTCATGTGTGCCATGGCTGGCCTGGATTGCCGCCTCCCGCAACCAGGGCCACCCGGCCAGCACCAGCCTGCTACAGAGGCTGTGGGGGGTCTGGTTGGAAATGAGGGGCAGGAAAGTAGGTATGGCAAAATATAGGGGTGCCCACCCCAGGCTGGACAGGTTCTGTTTCCATTCTTTGTTTTATCAGCTCTGGGATGGAACCAACCAGAGCCTTGTCTGTGCCAAGCAAACCCCGCCCCCATCCAGTCACTGGGGATTCTAGGCTGTCACTCTACCCCTAGCCACGCCCCCAGCCCCTCACTGGGGATTCTAGGCTGTCACTCTACCCGATCCACGCCCCCAGCCCCTCACTGGGGATTCTAAGCTGTCACTCTACCCGATCCACGCCCCCAGCCCCTCACTGGGGGATTCTAGGCTGTCACACTACCCACTGGGTCCTGAATGAAAGAGTGTAGTGAAAATCACCCAGTGTTCACTGTGATCCAGTTTGTGCTCTGTGACCTTAGGTGACAGCCTCAACTAAGGATGGACTTGGCCTGAGCCAGCCCTTCTCTGCCCACTGTGCAGTGTGACTCAGGGGAGCCTTGCCCTCTCTAGTCTTTGCCTTTTAGCTTTCCCGCCTATTAAGCAGAAGAGAATTAAAATGGTCAACCACACCCAAGACTGGAATTGCTAATCCTTGAGAAGTACACAGATGGTGCTCAATAAATGCTTGCTCTCTTCCTAGATTCTCTCTCTAGCTTCTGGGGAAGGGATGGAGGAGGTCTAGGTTCATCTATGACACCCAGAGTAGATGAGGGGTAGCTAAGGACACAGGTGTCCAGCGCTTGCGGAGCCCTGTCCTGGCACAGCCCCAGGACCTTGACAGCCAGGTGGGAGGTGTGGGACATGGGGTCCAGACACCAGCTGGCAGAGTATTTATAACGGTCCCAGGAGAGGGACAGGTGGGGTCAGCATCTCTGTGCTGGTCAAGGGTGAGGGCAGAGCCCGGGCCAAGAAGCCCCGGCTCTAGGCCCTGCACCTGCCATGCTGTGTGGCCCTGGGCAGGTGTCTTGACTGTTCTAAGCTGGTGCTCTCCTTCTATAAAATGAGGTTAAAATGGCTCAGGGCTGTGGAGTGTTAAGTCACCACCTGGAGAAGGTGGGATGGGGTCTCCATAATGAAGAAAAAGAGGGGGCTGGGTGTGGTGGCGACTGTTTAATCCCAGCAGAGGCAGAGGCAGGCAGATCTCTGTGAGATGGAGGCCAGCTGTTCTCCACAGGGAGTTCCAGTCCAGTGGGGCTACTCCTCAAAATTTTTAAAAATGTTTGAAAAAGACAATCATAAAGAGAGAAGGAAAATGCAAAGCCTTGCTGT